AAATATGGGGAAGGAATTAGTCTCATCTTAAGAGCATAAGAAACATCCTTAATTTTTTTTCAGGTCCTTAATGCTTCAGATTTTTTGCAAATAAACAATAACTACTTTAGCGATAATTTGTAGGCCCTGGCAAATACAGGTAGTCCTTGTTTAGTGACCCTTCACAGTCACAATGGTGATGAAAAAGTAACTTTGCTACCAGTCCTTGCATTTATGACATTTGCAGGTATGTTAAGCAAAGGAAAGCTGAAGAAGGTTGTAACCACAGTCATGCTTCGCTTAACATCCGAGTTGCTGGTCCCAATTGTGATCACTAAACAAGGACTACCTGTACGTCATTTTTTCTTAATTAGTGCCACAAGTAGATAGTTCTGTAGCTGTATGTAGAATTTGTATGTCTCATTTCAGCATAACGGGTGGGTTAAATAAATAATAATTTAAACAGGTATCAAAATTAATATATCAATAAAACAGCAGATACCACATGTAAAAATGGCATAAATATATAAGAAATCAGAGTAGATTGGCTAGGTTCACAGAAAAGGATACATTGTGGTTCTGAACAATTCACAAGCAGTGGATGGACCAGTCCTGTAAAAGAAATAGCTTCTGCATGTCATTCCAAAGTGACAGAACTTCGCCAGGATTTTTTTTTTTAAGTGTTGCATCTGAACCAGGACTCCCTGTTTGTTCCTCTCTTAACAAATGAGAGTTTGAAGCCAGAGTTTGACCTTATTTTCTGAAATTGAAACAAGCTAGGAATTCCAGTTCTACTACACAGTATTTTTTTTCTTTTGGGCGAGTTCTTGGTTACATTTCTCTTGTTGACAGAAAGAAGCAAGCTGGAGTAATACAGCAATGTTTGTGAGAACCTTGCTAGAGTATGAAAAGGTAGAGTTCACCACAATTTTAGTTTATGAGGTTAGAGAACACAGCCTTTATCTACTTCAGCTTTCCAAAAGTTGGTGTCTCTCCAGACAAGTTAGAGTTACAACTAAGATAGCTAACATAGCACTAAATGTGCCAAATTTCTGTCATAAGACTGCCTTGCAGAAAAGTACCTCCTTTCTGGAGCTATCCACCTACATTCTTGAAGGTGGAAATACCCATTGGTAAGTTTCTCAACTCAAAAAAGCTACTGGTGAATTTAATAATGTCAGATTTAAAATAGATTTAACTTTTCAGAATTAAGCTCTATATTTACCTGATTGGACCTTTCAGCATTGAAAGTGGCTTTTCTATATAATTTGTGTAGCAATTCTTGTCTAAAGATCACTGCATTTTATTCTTGTTAACTGTTTAACAATAAGAGTCTTGTTCAAATCTCCTTGGGTTTTAAGTACCATTAAATTAGATAAAGTGCATAGAGCTTTTTTATTTGTCTATTTATTTATACATTAAATTTATAAGCTACCTAACTCATAGTAAGGCAGAATACAAGATAAAAATAATCCAATACAGTGCAAATGAAATAGATAATAACCTGGAAATTAATGTACCAAACACATTAATAGAATTCCTACAGAGGTACACACTTCCTAACCTAGCACCTAGAGAAGAAGCCATGTCTTCAAAGCCCATTTAAAGGATGGGAAGGTTGAGGCAACTCACACCTCCAGGGA